AAGTTACAGTGCGGAAAGAGTTAACACACTCTCGAGCCAAATTATTTCTACTCTCATTTGAATGCAAAATAGCCCTGGATTCTGTTTTTAAAAAAAGAGTGCAATTAAAAGTGAACTCTCCGTTTACAAAACATTCACATTTCAGTTGTTCAAACTGCCCCTTTTTAGGGAAGATTAAAAGGTTGGGATATTGAACTGAATTCAGCATTTTCTCAGATCAGTTTGTTCTCACACTTGTTCTCCATTGTTTTGGACACAAAAAGATTACAGGTTCTTTTGTTCTTTCCTAGATACTTTTTCTTTGAAAAGATGAGAGATAGTAATCGGCCTTTATTCCCCACTACTTGATCTGTAGCCTTGCCTTATCCCATCTTAATCGCACCGAAAAGATTGCCTTTTTTCTGCAGATGACCTGAGCATTGCAGGAACTGACAAGGTCATGATAGAGGCAGTTAAAGTTCACTGTTGTTCTGGTATTATTTAATCCTTTTTATTGCAATTGGCTGCTTTAGAACATGAATATGTATTGGCTTAAGTTAGCTCTGCATTATACAAGTTACTTTAGCTCGATTATATGCCATTACAGGATAGTAAGAACAATTTGAAAAAATGAAAAGTAGAATTTTTGCTTCCATTGGCTTCCATTCCAGATGTCATAGTGTTTGTATATTTTGCTGCTCTAACCTTCCATGTTATTCTTGATTTACATTATCCCATACTAACGAGTAAGACAGTGTTGGACTTCAATTATTTGAAGTGCAATCTTTAATGAATCAAGATATCAATAGGCTGAATTGTCTTGAAACTAAAAATAGTTTTGAAAGTGACTGTTGGAGACGTACTCTTAAAGTAAGATTGCAATGTCAAATTTGTTCTGATGAAAAATACAATCAAACACAGTGTAAGAACTGCCACTTTTAAAAGCCTTTGTTGTGAAATGTACCTGATAATACTCGTGTAGATGACAGGGGACAGATTTGTTGAGGATAATTCTGATTTGTTAGGCGACTCTAAACTTCCGCATCAAGTTGCATTTTGGGAGCAACAATAATTTATGCGCTGACTTGAGGAGCTAATTAGTCCGATTATTCAGCAGCTGTGTTGGTTGTGGCACAGAGATTTCTTCCCTTCAATTCATCAAAAGGATCACTGGCTTGGGGAATGTTCCAACGTGACAGATCTTGAATAGCAAGCAAGCCTTTATTTTCGAAGATTGTGTGCGTGTGTGTATATCAAACATAAAATAAATCAGCATTGTTTGCTTATGGCTGGAACATCTTTTACGCAAGGGGAAGTTACGCTTTCTCCAAACGTTTCTTCAGGAGTTTAAAAAATTATAAACAAAGCAGCATCTTATTTGTACACATTTTGCATGAACATAAAAGCAATAAAGAATTAAAACAGGATTTGCACGGGATGCGTTTTGATCGCTGAATTACTCTTATGTTATGCAAACAGAAATTCTTTCCCCTTTCTATTCTGTCCCCTTCTCTTAAGGCATCATTTACCATGCAGCACACAGCAACTGCGAGGGTGGTTGGGCAGTTACTCCCAGACCTACCCAGACAACGACTGCTCCTCTCTCACCAGTTACTCTGAACTACTGCTTGTTTGCTCTTATATTTCTCCCAGTCTCAATAGCAAACCTACATTTCGAAAGTTGTGGATGCAAAATTGTGTCCTGCAGCCCCAAGGCAATGGTATATCGTGCTGCTGTGTGTACACACGCACTCACACCTGCTGGATTCTTTCGTGAAAGAGCTAAATGTTGTAATGGGAGGGGTTAGGGTGGTAGAGTGGGGCTTCTGGAAGGATGAAATCAAATTGTCCAAAGGGCTTTCTTCGTCTGAACCTTTCTCATGATCTTGTGAACATTTTTTGAATTTGTTTAACATTTACGAACTTACTGATTGATTGAATTATTGCCGATTACTGTGTGCTCATAAAGAAGATTTCTAGTGTTCTAATCTTAAAGTGAATGATATTAGGATCCAGAGATTGAATGCTTAACGTTTCTTTTTAATTTCTTTACCCTATTTTATCCAGCTATTACTTTTTATGTCATTAATCTAAAGATTTAGGGCATGAGTTTGCGAGGTTTAAAAAATGCCTTTGACCAATTAATACATTCAAAGTAACTTGTTAGATAGTGGGCAGCAAATTGTAGATAAAAGGCCATTTATGCCAGGTTCCAGGCTCTTTTACACCTAGTCCTGGACCTGAGCCAATTTCTTTTCCATCTTGTCCTGCTGTGGGCACCTCTTTATGTCCTTGTTGCAAACTGGACATTTTATCTCAGTTCAGCAATTGTATGCAAAGATTTCAAGGAGAAAGGGTTTCATTATTTTTTGCAGTGACAATGTGATTCATAGCTGACTTACCTCTTGTGTTTGAAATGCTATGGTGCATATTTGATTAATTTGTTTGACAGCTGATAATATTGCTGCAGAGTGCAGTATTTTTATAGTGTTCGACATGGGCATTTACCACTGGAGGCTACTAAAATTACTTTGCTGCTGTCGCCATCTACAAAATTAGAAACGTCTAGTTCAACCCTCTGTTAGGAAGAGTGCGGCATTTAAGGGACAGCTTTATGCGAAACAGGACGCTTTCAAAAACACAATTTTCCCAGCTTAATATAGTTCCTTTATTTGTTGATTGGATCATTGTGCGTAATTTTAAACCAGGTTTTTTTTGGTTCGCTCATATAATATGTGAACAAAGTTCGAGCTCGCCCACAAAACATTTTAGACACACGAATTGGGCGCCGTAAACGCTAAAATAATCCTTGGATTTGAAGTAGCGCCTTATCACGTCATCGCAATGGCTCAAAGTGCTTTGTAGGATTTACTGTCAAGTGGAGTTATTGGGTTTTGATGATCTAACTTAAATTCACTTGCTGATTCAGTGGACTCCTATTTGATTGGGGTATCGCTCACATAAACCATAAATTCATCATTCTCAATTTCTTAAAAAGGAACTTTGAAACTATAGTAAACCAACTACCAAATTAACATTGAATTCAAACCCTTTTGCCCACAAAAATATACAGTCAATTCACTTTACAGTATATCCTGTGAAGCGCTTTGAGACATCTCGAAGATACGATAAGGCGCTATATCAAAAATACTATTATTATTAATTCAAGAATTTACAAAATGTCACAAATTTCAGGGGCAATAGTCTTAAAGTTGGGGACATGAGAAGTTTCGGGTCACAGATGTCTTAGATCCAAGTTGCACTTTTAACACTCTGAATCGTAAATTTGTTTTTTACACTTTCCTCAAATTTGTAAAAAGATTTTTTTGTCCAAAGAGCCAAGTGAGCAAGTCCCAGGCCTCTGCCAATGTTGCTCTGTTAACTGCCCACTAGGTGGTGTGTGACGGTGCTCAGATCAATTCGCCTTCCGGTTTGCTCCATCTCCCTTTGGGAAGGTGTTTTGTGGGGAATCAACCAATAAAATAATTTATTTTAATAAATTACCTGCTGCGTTCCAAGGTTCGACACATAACCAAAGCCTTGCGCCACGCATCTCCTAGAACCCACACTTCCTATTGTAATCGGTTTTATATGAGGTTTGTCACTGAGCTGAAGCACATCTGTTTTCTGCCAGCAGTGTGGTTCTGCAGCACAATAATTGACTGATTATTATCTAATCCACTAGTGTCCTGCAGAACTGATATTTGGTTTAACTATTTCAGGACAAAAGTCCTTTAATCCGAATCTCTGTGTATTTTTTTATTTTGAAAATGGGTCATTATTCTGATGCAAAGCCCCTCCTTGTTTTTCCCATTAACTTGACCGGCTAAATTTACACTTGGGTAATTTTAAACTGGTACCTTTGAAGCTGTTCCAATGATATTTACAAAAAACACAGTCGCTGCGTGCTAATCAGAAAGTCGATGAGCAAATTATCCATAGATAGTCGATCCACAATTGATGAGCAATTATCCTGAATGTTGTTGGAATTATGTTTTTAAATACTTTTTTTTAAAGCTTCAGCTTGTTTGGTGGTAAAATTGGCACAACAACAACCTGCCTTTAAATAGAACCCTGCATGAAGGATAGCGCTGTATATGTTTGCTTACAAAATACACAGTCACTACACTTCACAGTACATCCTGCCAAGCACTTTGAGACATCCGCCTGATGTGAAAAGGCACTATCAAATGCAAGGATTATATCATTGTAATCCCTTGGAGCGCTGGACAATGATTGTTTGTTGGATGCTGAGAAAGGGAGAGGGGTGAAGGGGATAGGAGTTGGGGCGATAACCTTATGGTTATCATGGTCGAAGAGGTAGCTTGTTAGCTTTCTGACTGTGAAATGCCACGCAGGTTATTGTAGTCTTTCTGTGCTCCTCACTTTATGAGTTGTTATATTTTGGAGGTTGAACCTTATTTTCCTGCCCCAGAGCTGGACACTGGAGCTCACTGAGACCATGTTAATTTCTTCTGCTCGATAATGCTTTTTTTTAAAAAAAGAAGACTTCTGAGTGGATTTTATTTGATTTCCTGAATAAAGTGCAGGAGGGCAGAGCATCTACAAAATGACTGTTGTTGCACTTTTTAGTGAATTCGGTGAAGCCTTTTGAGATGTCCTGATGTGAAAAGCGTTATATCAAATGCAAGGATAATGTTATTAATTATTATTATTCCATCATGTCCAGGCACTTATTTGATTTCAATCATACCGGTGTCATTTTAGTAAGCAATACAGTTTGTGACGGGTTGTCAGATTTTATTCCGTGCACAGAGCCTCTCATCCTCTCCGAAGTACAGTAAAAATTGAAAGATGTGGCCTAAAAGCAAAGGGAATAACCTTGAAATTGTTTTTAAAACATATTTATTTCCGATCTTAATGCCAATAACAGCTTTTTTTTAAAGTTTGCGGCGAATTCTCCGAGTGAATTGTGTCGTCTTAACAAGCTCGCTCTCCCCGTGCTCGTCTGTGCTTATCTTCTAATAGAACTGTTTTCTCCGTTATTGGTTTCCTCGTAGCAATTCATCAGAGCAGCAAGGAGCAGCCAAACCCCCATTAACCTCCTCCAATATGACATCACGAATCCTGCTCCGGCAGCAGCTCATGCGCGATCAGATGCAGGAGCAGGAGCGCCGGGAACAGCAGCAGGCAGCACAGTTCATTCAGCAGCGAGTGCCAGTCAGCCCGACCCAGGCCATCAACGTCAGCATCTCCACCAGCCTGCCCACTGCCACTCAGGTGCCAATGGAAGTCCTCAAGGTAAGGTTTTAATGCTTCGCGTCTGCAGTCCTTTGCAGGGGCTGCGCTGTCACCGCAGATAGCAAGGACTTTGAGGAAATTCACTCCCGTCGGGGCTTCTGAAGTGAAAACAAATATTCTGCACAATCTAAATTAAGCAGACGAGGAGTAGAGGAGGAATTGCACACAGTGTAAAATGCTCTGTGAGCATTAGTTTTAACTCTTCACATTTACTGGGTAGTGACCAGCATTGATAATAAATAATAAGCAGTCTCTCTCTCTCTCTCTCTCTCTCTCTCTCTCTCACCCTCTCGCTGTCTCTCACACACACGTACATACACTGACTGGCATGTTTGCTAAAATCGCATCATAACCTGTATTTTTTAAAACTTAATAGGATTTGATCTGTAAACATCAATTTTTTGACATTCATTTTTAAGGAAGTTTACTGCTTGAAAATGTTGTCAAGACTCTTGGTATTGAAGCTTTTCATAGCAACAAAATGGGCTTTCAACTGTTTGCCAACGGTCACTTTTAATCCTATTTCCTCCGATGAGTTGATGTCTTCTAACAGCTCTGATTCTTTATCAGACAGGGAACTGCAGGAGCTTGTTAGTATCTCCCTATTGTGGGGGGATGTAGTAAATACCTTCCTAATTACTGCAGGATCTTGATTTGGATAGCGCAGAAATCTCCATTTCGCCCCCCCGACCCCCAAATCAGTAAATCTAGCTTTTAGTTCAAACATCTAAAATGTTACTCAAAATGTTTTAGACCTGACTTCAGTTATTTGTTTGATTTTATTTGTACTATTGAACAATGAAGGGACGTAGCAAAATCGTGACAGCTATAAAATGATTAATCTGACAATGACTGAATAATAGCACCATTATTCATCTGCTCTGTGTGCGGGGTCTTTGATCAATGTTATGGTTACTGAAGCTCGTCAAAAGAATGAAATACCAGGATGACTCCTTCTTGGACTCGTCATTGAGGTGTTTAGCAATGCCATTTTGTTATCCTTTTGAACGCTTAGAAAAATGTGAAGTTTGATGTTTCGTCTCACATCCCCAGTCGTTTTAGATTCTCGTGCTCCACTTCAAGCCCTCCAATTAGTTTTGTAAGATCAGGTGTGATGTGTGCCATATTTTTTAATGAATGGAAACCAGAAACAGGAAGTCAAAAAGTGATAAGACACGTTTCGTTTTATGCTGATCTTTTTTTCACACAGTTCTCCAAAAATTATTCTGTAAATAATCTGCGCTTCTAAAAATATGGGGCTGTTTTATCTCCTGAACTTGCTTCCGCTCTCAATCCCTTCAGCCGAAAAGCAAATCAAGTGCTATCAATGGCAAGCTTTAACGGTTTTAGCTGGATAGACTCCAGCAGTACCCCAACACACACTCTGGGGGGCCCCCAAGCTTTGGCTTCCGCCTACCTGTGCCGAATGCTCTCCAGAATTAAGTAAACAGGATGCATCCCTCCAGGGAGAGTGTGTGCATTCCATTCCAACAATCTGTCTCTGGGATTTCCATGCGTAGGTGGGATAAATGAAATTCTCAGTTTGCTTTGGATACTCTTTAAGCACGGTGATGGGTTTCCACATGCCTGAAAGGGTGCTGGAAGCCAATTCGATAACAACTTTTAAGAGAGAAATTGTTAATTATTTGGGGAGGACAAGTTTGCAGGGCTATGGGGAGAGAACGGGGGAGTGGGATAGATTTGGATAACCCTTTTCAAAGTGCCGGCACAGACACAATGGGCCAAATGGCCTCCTTCTGTGCTGTATAATTCTATGATTCTATGTGTCAGAGACCCAGCTGACCTAAAAAAAGAACTGGTTAATCAAAACTCTTCTCACTAGTTTCATTTCATCTGAAGCTTGCCATCGATTTGGCTATCATGTTGTTCAGCCCCAATTCCACTCTTAATCCTTTTAGCCGAACGGCAAAAATCTCGACTTTTTATTGGGAATATTGCAGATGCAGTACCAAAATACCCTTTGTCAGAATATGTATGTACGGATAGGTATTTGCTGGAGACAAATTTACATCTTTGCAAAACACCTCAATTCCTTTGCTCTAAAAATGCAAATGTCCCCTCAGTGAATGAAAGGCATTTGGAAGTTTGAAAATTCTAGTTACAATGTCATGTTCTGGTTATTTTGTAAATACCTAAGAGAAGTGAAAGAACATTGCTTTATAGTCAGGGCAACAGAATTATACCCTTGAACCTGGGAAAAGCCATTGCCTTGGGCAAATGTTTTTTCAATGTCATTTCAATACGTATTTTTTCTCTTTTAAGTCTTGGAAACTAAAATCGGGACACAGTGATGTAAGTGAGAGGCTGGTGACGTATCCAGTAATGTACAATAATAACAATAATAATGCTTGCATTTGGTATAGTACCTTTCATGTCAAAAAGATATCCCAAAGCACTTCAAAGGATTTACTTCTAATACACTTTCTGTTGCATTTTTGTACCTTCACACTATATCAGGTTAGCACCAAGCATCAAAAAATTCCAACCAAGTGTAACGCAGGAATGTGGGGCACTGTGAAGCTCTGTGTTTCATTGCCCAGTTCTGTTCCTGCTCATTTGATGAGTCGTCAATTAAATTAGATTTCAGTTAAATCAGCAATTGTTTGCATTCGCTTATGTCGAAATGCCTGCAAAGTGATGACTGAAGAGGAGCTGCTTTTATCAAATTAATTAGCAGTGAATTTCGAAGCAGCAGAAAACACTGACTGCGGTTATGAAATCCTTTGTGTAGAGTGGAACCCTGTTACACCGCATTTCAATAGCCTGCGGGCCTCTTCCTAACGTGAGTATACCGTGATCACTGTATGTGGAAGTGTGGTATACTTCACAACTCCAGTGCTGGCTGGCCAGCTCCCTGTGCAAAGTGCCCCCTGACTTCAACGTGATCCCCGACAACTATTGGAAATGCTTGTGAAAGCAGTCTTACCTGACTAGTCTCTGTACACGACTCTGTAACGTCACCACGGACCTGATGACCCCAGAAATAGATGCCCCCCCCACCCACCCTGCCCACTCACCAATCCCCCAAACCAGTCATTACCTTGACAGTAAAGTCCCATGAAGCATTTTCAGTTGTTTCGACGATGTGATAAGGTGCTGTATCAAATGCAAGTGTTACTGTATTATTGTTATTACTGACATTTACTAATGTCCCATAACTACAGTAGTCTGATGGAGGCGGTGCTTGCATCATATTCCGACCTGTGGAAATAATGAAGGGGACAGCAGCCAACCTTACCGTTTGTCAAACCCTCAGTGCTGATACCACTGCTTGTTCACTTCATTCGTATGTACAATCTGTTTACTTCACACAGAACCAACCCCAATCTGTCACCACACCCCTCCTCAGAAAAACCACCCTCAATCCCTCTAATCTCTCACACTGCTGTCCCATCTCCAACCTACCCTTCCTTGCTAAAGTCCTGGAATGCATTGTTGCAGGTCAACTACTGTCATACCTCTCCCTCCACTCCCTCCTCGAGCCCCTGCAGTCTGGTTTTCGCCCTGACTGCCCACAGCACAGAGACAGAGCTTGTCACAAACGACATTCTCTCTATCTGTGACAGGGGCTCCCTCTGCCTCCTTGTCCTCCTGGATCTCTCTGCCAAGTTCGACACAGTCAACCACACCATCTTCCTCCATTGCCTCTCCTCCCTCATCCACCTTAGTGGGGCCGCGCTTGCATGGTTTGAGTCCTATTTAACCAGCCGCCTCCATTTCATTCAAATGGTTGCTCCTCCTGCCCATGCCTGGTCACCTGCGGGGTACCCCAGTGCTCCATCCTCGGTCCTCTACCTTTCCTTATCTATATGCTGCCTCTGTCATCCGCAGATACAGGGTAAACTTCCACGTGTATGTGGATGACACACAAATCTACTTTGCCTCCTCCAGTACCAACTCCAGGTCCGCCGATGTTCTATCAACTTTTCTGACAGACATCAGGGCCTGGATGAGTGCAAACCTCCTGCAGCTGAATGTAGACAAGATGGAAACCAACGTATTCACTCCTGCGGATCTGAACTCCTCAACCTCCCTGGTCTCTCCCTCACACTCACTGAACCAGTGCGCAATCTAGGTGTCCGGTTTGACCTCCAGCTATTTTTTCTCCCCACATCCAGTCCCTGACTAGGACCACCTTCCTCCACCTCTGTCACATTGCCCGCCTCCGACCATACCTTACCCCAAATGCAGCCGAAAACCTCGTGCATGCATTTATCACCTCTCGCTTGGATTACTCCAACACACTCCTCGTCGGTCTCCCCAGCTCCAGTATTCACAAGATCCACTCCTACAAAACTCTGCTGCTCGCATACTGACCCCGACCAAACTCCATACCCATATCTCACCAGTTCTGGCACAGGCTCCACTGGCTCCCCATCACCAAACGGTCTCACTTGTGTTCAAATCTATTCACTCCCTGGCACCCCCCTACCTCTCTGACATCCTCACTCCCCAATCCACCACCCGGCACCTCCGCTCGATTGGCACCGGCCTCTTGCTCCTTCCTCGCAACCTCTACCCCACCATCGAAGGTCTTGCTTTCAGCCCCAAAACTCTCCCTCAATCCCTCTGCCTTTCCTCCTCTCTCCCCTCTTTCAAGTCCTGCCTGCAAACTCTGCTGTTCGACTGTGCTTACGGTCACCTCCCCCAGCTTGGAGTCAGGCTGTACCACTGTTAAGCACTCTGAGACTCTATCCTGCGAGGAGGGCGCTTTATAAGTGCAAGTTGGTATTGTTGTCGAGAGACTTCCAGAGTTTCGGAGAGTAGTGGCTGAAGGCACAGCCATCGATGATGGAGTGGAGGGCACGAGGAACGATTAGGAGGCCGGAGGCAAAGGGTGGTGGAGTGGGGATGTAAGCAGGTTGGATAGGTAAGGAAGTGCGAGGAATGGAATTGCTCCATCCCAGCAGTGGAATGGGATGAGGTGAAGGATTAGTACCAATACTACTGTCACGCAGTATGTTAACTTTACAGAAGCA